ACATGTTGAGCCAACTTCTTATTCTGGAGCGAGTCACATTTGATTTGAATGTACAGCCCTTCTTGCTGTTTTTTTATTGAGGCTTTTCACATCGTTATTGATAAAAGGCATTGATCTAGTTCTCTTGTGATGTTTTTTACAAGAGAAAGTTGGACTACAACTTACAACTTTCTTTTTAGGGTTATTGTCTTTCCCACTAAGTGGGGGCTGCTTGTTGGTAAAGATGTGCCCCATGGCCCTTACATCCCCAGATGTCCCAACAGGGCCTCTCAGGAGGGCTGTCAAGACACAGTGCCTGAGACTCATTAGACAGGACCTGTTCAGGCCTGGACTCTTCTGGATCCCTGGGGTTTAAGTGCATTTGCCTCCATCCCACATGTCACCTTGTTTGCTGCTCTCTAAATGTATCCAAGGTATGGTTCTTGCTTTAAATAACAATCGTGGCAAGAAGTGGATGCCAAAAAATATCCTAACCTGCTCCAGGTGCTGCCTCTGGTAGGGACCTGCACTCTGTGCTTTCTGCAGGTGTTTGATAGACAGACACAGGGGGAGAACTGGCTTTGCAAGCCTTCTACACAAGGTCATTATCCATATCTGGGACTTTGAGGTCCCAAGTGTGTGTCTGACTTCCAGCCTGACTGAGCCTCAAAGTCCTCAAAATAAGGTTGATTTTGAAAATAGTTATTGTATTATTTGTTGTTGAATTGAATGTCTTTGAAACTTCATTCAGAATCATTCTTTAAAAGTGAATGATTTGAATCAGGTGGTGACAGCACACATCTTTAATCCCAGCTCTCAGGAGGCAGAGGCAGGTGGATCTCTATGAGTTCGAGGCCAGCCTGGTCTACAGAGTGAGCTCCAGGACACTACGCAGAGAAACACTGTTTTGAAAAAATTAAAAAAAAAAAAAAAAAAAAAAAGAATGACTTAGGGCTGGGAGGTAGCTCAGTTGGTAGAGTGCTTGCCTCTCATGCTGGGGAGGACCAGGTTTGATCCCCAACACCTCATAAGCTGTGTATGGTGAATCCTAGTACTTCAGAGGTAGAGGTGTGAGGGTGAGAGGTTCAAGATCACCCTCAGCTACATAGACCGTTTTGGCAACATGAGGCCCTGTCTCGAAAAGAAAAGAAAAATAAATTGAAAGGACATAACTAGAATGTAATCATAATCTTTTATACTGGAATACTAACTGTGACAAAGGTAGCATTTCACAGCAAAATCTTTTATTTATTTTTTATTTTTTTAAATTTTATTTTACTTTATTAATTACACTTTATTCACTTTGTATTCCCCCATAAGCCCCTCTTTCCCCCACCCTCCCACCCACTTCTTCATGCATGCCCCTCCCCAAGTCCACTGATAGGGAGGTCCTCCTCTCCTTCCTTCTGATCCTAGTCTATCAGATCACATCAGGAGTGGCTGCATTGTCATCTTCTGTGGCCTGATAAGGCTGCTTCCCCCTCAGGAGGAGGTGATCAAAGAGCAGGCCAATCAGATTATGTCAGAGGCAGTCCCTCTTCCCATTACTATGTAACCCATTTGGACACTGAACTGCCATGGACTACATCTGTGCAGGGGTTCTAGGTTATCCCCATGCCTGGTACTTACTTGGTTGGAGTATGAGTCTCTGGGAAGACCCCTGTGTTCAAATTTTCTGGTTCTGTTGCTCTCCTTTTGGGGTTCATGTCCTCTCCAGATCTTACTATTTCCCACTTCTTACATAAGATTCCATGCACTCTGCCCAACAGTTGGCCATAAGTCTCAGCATCTCACAGCAAGATCTTAATGACAGAACTGAGTGTCAGTACATAAGGGCTCTAATTTTGCAATTATTTTGTAAATTTAAAACTGTTGCAAAAGTTTTTGAAAAAAAAAACGTAGTGAGGGCTTAAATGAAATTGCTTTTAATTGTGACTTTTATAACACCTTTTATTGAATAGTATAAAAATAGGTCAGTCTGGTAGTGTACGCCTTTAATTCCAGCACTTAAGAGGCAGAGACAGGCAGAACTCTGTTAGTTCCAGGCCAGCCTAGTCTACATAGGGAGTTTCAGGCTACCCAGGGCTAACTCCACAATGAGACCCTATCTCAAAATAAAAAAATAAAATAAAAAATAAATCTAATTGAGAAATCAAGGCATCAGTACCAGATTCTTTGTGATTAATTATCCTTAATTTGTGCACTACCTTAAGGATTGACATTTCATATATTTAATGCAAAAATAATATCTTCTCATTACTTTTATCTTGTGGCTGGTGAGATGGGTCAAGAGGCAAGGGCACTTGCTGCAGCCAAGCCTAGTGATCTGAGTGGGATACATAGACCCTCCATTGTGGAAGTGTGGGATTTCCACAGGCTGTCCTCTGACCTCATCCCCACACGCATGCACTCCCAAAACAAATATTTTTGTAACTTACTTTTTAAAAATGTTATGTGTACTGCATTGGTGTTTTGCTTGCATGTGTGTCTGTGTGGTGTCAGATCTTGGAGTTACAGTTGAGCTGCCTGGGTGCTCTGGAAGAGCAGCCAGTGCTTTTAACCACCGAGCCATCTCTCCAGCCCCTAATAAATATTTTTTGTTTGTTTGTTTTTTGAGACAGGGTTTTTCTGTGTAGCCCTGGCTATCCTGGATTCAATTTGTAGGCCAGGCTGAACTCAGACTCATAGCTATCCACCTGCCTCTGCCTCCCCAGTGCTGGGATTAAAGGCGTGTGCCACCACCACCTGGCCTAAAAAAAGTATTTTAAAATTGACTAAACACCAGGAGATTTTTAAAAATCTTCACTCTTTTCCTAAATAGTGTCTTTTTTGAGATTTTAGTTGGAAATATAATAACTTATATTTCTATAAATAACATATTAATCTTATCACTTCTGAATATAGTGAGCTCTGTACTTCTTTGAGGTGTTTCATAATTTTGTTGTTAGTTTTTTTGAGATGGGTTCTCACCCTGCAGCCTTGGTTTGCCAGGAACCTGCTATATAGACCAGGCTGCCCTCAGACTCACACTGCTCTGTCTTTGCCTCTTAAGTGTTGGGATTAAAGGGATGTGTCACCACCCCTGGCAGCTTTTTCATAATTTAATCTTTTTTTTTTTTTCATATAACCATTTTGTTGTTACACAGTTCTTTTTTTCTGGTTTTGTTAAAATTTTAACTTATCTGATTAAAAACTAGTTATTTTTTGAACTCCTTAGTTCTAATTTTTAAAAAGATGTATTATGTATACAATGTTATGTCTGCATATACACCTGCCCGCCAGCAGAGGGCACCATTGGCAAATTGTATAGAAGGTTGTGAGCCACCAAATGGTTGCTGGGAATTGAACTCAGGTCCTCTGGACAGCTCTTAACCACTGAGCCATCTCTCCAGCTCCCCTTTAGTTCTATTTTTGTTTGTTCTCTTTTCCATGGGGCTGGGGATCCAATCCATGGCTTCATGAATGCTAGACATCTGGTTCATGTTGAGCAGCTGTGGTGTTCTTGGACCTTTCTGTTATCTGCCTTTAGTGGAACTCCTTTCATACCACTGACCATTGATTTGAGAGTCTTTAATATACTTAGGAATTATACTTTTATTTCACATTTTTTAACTATAACAACATTTTATCTAATCATTTTATGTCTTTCAGAGTGTGTATATGTGAGTGTATGCATGTGTGTGTTTGTTGGCACTGGGGCTTGAACCCAGGGCCTCACACAAGTGCTTGGGAAGTGCTTGACAAGTACATAGACCTGTATTAGTGTTCCTGTGTGTGCACATGTCTGTATGTGTATCATGTATATGCACATGTGTGTTGGGTGCATATGTGTGCTGAGGCCATTAGAGCACATCAGGTATCTTCCATATTTTTTATTATTTTTATGTAATATTATTTTTTAAAAATTATTTTTGTGTGTATGGGTGTTTTGCCTGAAGGCCTACGTACCACATGTACCACATGCATACAGTGCCCCTAGAAACCAGAAGAGGGCAGCAGATTCCCTTGGAGCTGGAGTTAGAGCCAGCTGGGAGCTGCCATGGCAGTGCTTGAGATGAAACTCTGGTCCTCTGGAAGAGGGACCAGTGTTATAACCTGCTGAGCCATCGCTCCATTCTTCCATTTTATTTTTTAGACAGTCATCTCTCATCGAGTCTGAAGCATGCTGTTTCAGGATCCACCTTTCTCTATCCCCCAACACGGGGTTTATAGCACACATGGCCACTCTCAGCTTTTATGTGGGTGCTGAAGACTTGAATTCAAGTCAATTCAAGTCAACACTTGCTTTCAAAGCAAGTGTTCTTACTCACTGAGCCATCTCACAAGGCCCCTAGTCTCTTGTAGAAATTTTGAGATAGTGTCTTACTAAATTGCCCAGATAGGCCTTGAATTTGAGATTCCCCTGCCTCAGCCTCCCTAGTAACTGAGATTGTGGATCTTTACCACCAGGCCTTGCCTAGGTGATTGTTTTGTGTCTTGACTTACAGTTGTGGTGTCTTATGTTACTAGAATTTTCTAATAGATTAAACTACATTTGCATTTGCCAAGTTTTGTCATGAACATTTTTTTCTCCAATTATTCTCAAGTTTTAGCTCTCAGGAAGTCCAAATAACATGATTGATTTTTTTTTTTTTCCCACTGAAACAAAGAGAAAAGTTACAGCTGTTTGCAGACAAGACCCTGGAGCCAAGAGGCCTGCAGGACATCATCATGGAGGAGGGATGGTTTGCAGAAGGCAGAGCATTCAGCCTGTGCAAAGAAGGACCTGCTGAGGAAGCCAGAGTCAGCAGTTGCCCCATAGAAACGGCTGGATTTGGGGCTTCCCTGGCTCTGCCACATCCTGGCCCGTTCTCTCCATTCTTCCTCCTAGGGTTTGGAAACTGCAGAATATCTAAACCTTCTTTTCCTCCAGGGATCTCCTTCGGGCTGGCACCACCGTCCCACCATACTCCCAGCTAGTGATGCCTTCTCTACCCAGGGAGATGGAATGGAATGTCAGAGGCCCAAGCCCAGCCCAGGGAGGTGTTCACTGTGCATTTATTGAATCTACAACATAGAAAAGGCAGTTATTTGAGCTCTCTCTACAGGAAGAGAGCTAGAAAGAGAAGATTCTAGGTCCATGTCGGTTTGAGTCAGTTAAAAACCACATTCAAGGCACATGGCTCGTGATGGTGCCACCTGGGTGGGCTTGTTGCTGGCCTGGTTCTTCTTCCTCGCTGTCTTTAGGCACCTAGGCTCAGTTCAGGAATTAGAGGGCCTCTTGGCGGACTTCCCCACAGTTTTCTTCAGGGCAGGATTTTCACTGAAGGACCAGTTCCTCACTTTGTCTGCCCACCAGTTGCCTGTGCAGCTTTGGCTTATACCTGGGGGATGGGGTAGGAGGCACAGGCAGCCAGGCCACACATGTTCTTCCCACGCTCAATGAGGAAGTACCTGGACAGAGAGAAGAGATTGAGGACTGACTAGTGGCATCTGTACCACAAGCTTTCTAGAATGTTCCGGTGCAACCGAGACAACTCCAGGGATTAGGCCCTCTGAATATATTCTCAAAACAGCTGCCACAGGCTTATTTTACCAGTAGGAAATGACTGTCCTCACTTCATAACTAATTTCTTCCTTTTGCTCCTGGCATATTCTGCTTCTACCCAGAATTCATGGAGACTCCCTTCTTCCCTGTGTCCAGGTCCTCACATAACCTAACCACCACTAGGACTTTCTAAAAATAAAAACTCTTCTTTTCAGCTGTGTCTGTCTGTCTGTTCATCCTGATTCAAAGGAGAGACTGTCACTAGCAAATTCATTGCTTTCATTTCTCAGACCCTTCCAGAAGCTGGTTTTGTCCCAACAAGATGTTGAGGTCTAGCTGTTCTCAAACTTCAATTAAGGACCTCATTAAGCCAATTGATGTCCTGTCCCCTGCAGACTTGTTGGGACCTGCGATCCTATGAGAGGTCTTGCTAACAGGGCCTTGGCATTTGAAGATTCCAAGCTCATACTCCCCTTTCCTTGGCCTGGCTAGGTTTTGCTGTCCAACTCCTTAGAATGTTTAACATTAAGGTAGAGATGCCTCACACAGGGGGCGCTCCTAGCCAGGAACAGCATGTGCCCCTGCTAGGGACCTGCAGGCTACTTACCCATTGTCCCCCCAGTGGGCACCCCAAGAGTTTTTCACAATCCAGTAGGGTAATCCATTCTGTTCACCATAGCCAACAGCCAGGACTGCGTGGTTTACTTTATCTGGGGTTTTATGACAGGAAGTGCTGGAAATGAAAATGAAATTTTTAAAGACTTGTAGTAAAGGCAAGAACTGTCACAAACAAGAGACATGTTTCCTACTGGAGGGAGGGCAGCTTATTGGTTGTCAATCAGCTAAAGCTCAGCCATAATGGGAGAGAATAAGTCTCATCAGTTCTCAGTCCTTCTGCTCCAGCAGTCTGAATGTGGTACTGGCCATGGTCCACAGTGGACACTTCGGACTCCCAGCAAGGAAAGGAGCCCCCTGCTGCACTTCTATAGGCAACAGTGCCCAGCTGGAATTCCACTGGCTGCTCTGTTGCCTCTGCGTTCCTTCTAAGAACCACCTGCACTTGTGAAAAAACATGTAGGCTTGCCATCTAGCCTCTTGAGAAACGTAATGACTTCAGGACAAACTGCAGTGGTCACGTACTGATTTGATGGACATGGTAAAAAGGGGATGGTGGCAGAAGTCTGTAATCCTGACACAGGAGGCAGAGGCAGGCAGATGTCTGTGAAGTCAAGGCCTGCCAGGACTACAGAGACAAAATCTGTCTCAAACAAACAAGCAAAAAACCAAACCAACCAACCAAACAAAACACCAAACCTTGAGGAGCAGGCGGTATACGTGAATCTATAAGCCCTCCCTCATGGCTAGGCTGAAGAAGTTGGGCTAGAATGAGAGGAGACAAGAAGGGAGGTTTGATGGCAGATGAGTGCAGAGGAAGAGAGGAGCAAAGTTACCAAGGTGTCATGGAGAAGCTGAGACCTTGGGTAATGGGGAGGCCTTGGGTATTTACACCAAAGTCCTCATAGGGCTGGGTAGATGGTTCAGTCAGTACAGGTGTTTGCCACACAAGTCTTGATGATCTGAGTTTAGATTCCCAGCATTCATGTGAAAAGCCAGCTTGCTTTCATAATCACATTGCTGGGGGTTAGACAGCTTTCTGGAGCTCATTAGCCAACCAGCCCAGCTTAATCATTGAGCACTAGGTCCACTGAGAGACCTTGTTTCAAAAAATAAAAGAGTGATTGGGGAAGACACCTAAGGTTGACTTCTGGCCTCCACATGCTTGCACATACATGTGAATGTACACCTGCATAGTTAGGTTGACTTCTAGCCTTCACATGCTTGCACATGCACACCTGGACACACTCACATGATTGCCTATTTATTCTATCTACCAATCTTTCTATCTATCTCCCCATACACACCAATTTTCATGGCCAGAAAAGCACTTCAAAAGAAGAATTCTGGGTCCAAATGGGGAAGAGGCCAGGGTGTCTATTGTAGGGGAGACAGATGTCAAGAACAAGCTAATGAGGAAACATCTGGAGAAGGTGATGAGCTGGAATAGGTAGGAGAGGAAAGTGAGCAACCTATTGGGGCTTTGGCCTCTCCCCCAGCAACATCAGGGATGTGAGTCTGTTAACAGACACACACAGACCTTAAAGGAACCCTGTGGCTGGAGGAGCACAGGATTGGAGGTCTCCATGCTATCCAGGCTAAATTGACAGGGCTCCTCAGATCTAAGCATGGATCTAAGACTTGGAAGAGTCTTGGTGGGCTATGGATGATCTTATTAGGTAGTTGCTTATGGATTTATAGCTGTATCTGACAACTGCATAGAGGGCTGAGGGCAAAGTCCCGAAGAATATGGGCATTCTAGTGGTAGCTAGAGTACAGAGGGCATGAGGGAGCCTGGAGAGCTGGGAGTGGCTACAGAGACTCCTTGATAAACTCAAAGAGTTCAAACAGGCAGGCTAGGAGGTATGGACACAAGAAATCCCACATTAGACATGCTAAGGGGGTCATGGTGCAGCTCAGCAATAGAGTGACTGCCTACTGTCCATGAGGTCCTGGGTGCTAAGGTCTCTGGTCTTCTAGAAGTACCAGATAGTGAACTGTCCAGCACGGAATTGTGGTGTTTGAGAATAGCTACTTTTCTTGTTTTTCCTTTCCTTTTCCTTTTTTTTTTTTTTTTTCTTTTGAGACAGGGTCTCATGCAGACAAGACTAACCTTAGCTCGCTTTATAGCTGAGGATGACGCTGAGCTGCTGCTCCTCCTGCATCTTCCTCCTTAGTGCTGAAATTATAGGTGTACCATCCCATCCCATTTTTGTGGCACTAGGCACTGACCCCAGGGCTTAGTGAACACTAGGCTAGCACTCATCAAATGAGCTACATCTCTAACCCCATCTTCAAATATTTGACTATTCTTTTAAACCTTAGCTTTTTCGACTGGACTCAGCACTTCTGTAGATGACCACAGAACTCTGGACATGCATGGAGGATTTTGACTTAGCCATGACTTAGCCACCATGGCTGGGGCCTATGGCATCCTTTGTGACCTCTTTTTTTCTTTGCTGGGTTAGAGACTTGGTTCTGAACACTCAGAGCTGCAAGAAGACTAACAGAAGGAACATATATTAAGTCTCACAAATAAAATCTAATTAAGAGTCTAGGCTGAGCCAGAGGCCTTGGGCTGGGTTTGAGGAGGCCCATGCAGTCTTACCCCTCCCTCCCTTCTGACTCCTAGGACCCTGGCTTACCTGGAGTAGACGCCACTCTTATACATCATAAAATCTTCAGTCACCTCAAAGGCAAAGCTCACAGGGTTGTACAGTGCCACAGCCTCCACCATGGCTTCCTCATCATTCTGTGGACAGATTTGACAGATGTGTGGCCTCTCCTACCTCCCCACCATGCTTATGGCCTATTGCCAAAAGGCAGGGTTTGGAATTCCAGAGCTGTGCAGATAACCATGAGGAACAGGAGCCCCTCACATTGAGCAGTGATACAGACCCCACCTTCTTCATCAGAGTGCCAGCAACTTTGGATTGAGTTTTTGTTCTGTTTTGAGATAGAGTCTTAGGTGGTCCAGGCTGGCCTTGAACTTGTTTTGTAGCTGAGGATGACCTTGGCTGACCTTCCTGCCTCCACCTCTCAGGTGCTGGGAATTCAGGATGGTACTACCATGCCTGCCTTGGGTAAACTTTTATCTGTTAAAATTTTTTTAAAACTGGGCGTGGTGACACATATCTTTAATTCTAACACTTGGGAGGCAGAGATGGGTGGACCTCTTGAGGCCATCCTGTTCTACTACATATTGAGTTCCAGGACAGCCAGAGCTACGACTGTGTCCGGGCTATATTGACTGTCTCAGAAAGCAAACAGTGAAGGGAATGGAACCTAGGATCTTGAGAACATATTAGGCAAGTGTTCTACATATGATGAATGCCTCTATGTCTGGCCTATGTTATGCTGGGGATCAAAACCAAGAACCAAATCTTGTTCATGCTAAGCAAGTGCAACATGACTACGCTACACTTCTAGTCTGTTAGGGTTTGTATCTGGATTACTGTTCTCCCTCCCAAATGGAAGTAGCTCCCCTGTGGCTTCAGCCTTTGTCCTCACATTCTAACTGTCTGGGAATCTCATTGGAATCCCTTACAAACTCACACACAGCTCCACCATCATTCTCTCAGTCATGTCTGACCACTGAGGCCAGGAACTACGAAGGAGCAGACATGAGTTTGTCACTCTTGTTTCTGCCTCCAACACTCCACATCCAGGAAGACAGTCTAGGGACCTTCACTGGTGGAACACAGATCTTACAGATCCACAAATAGAGAAGACCTATACTGGGGTGGAAACGAGTCCAGCCCAGGCTCTGGGTCTTCTGAGTAGGATCTGCCCCTTAGTGTGGGAAGGCAGGCAGAAAGGAGTCATGGTAGCTTTTTGGAGGCAGGGGGAGAGCATCAGCTAGAAGCATCTGGTAGACCTCAAAGGCCTCCCTCCAGGGCAAGGTGGGTGGTTCCCCCACTCATGTGTTTTAAAGCGCCTCAGTTGGAAAAAACTGAGAGGGAGTCATAGTAAGGAGATGCTTTGGACTGGAAATGAGGCTGGAGGTTCAGTGAGTTAAGACCAGGGCCCAGCAAAGGGAAGTAAAGTGCAGGAGACAGAGTATAGTACTCAGTGTGTCCTCCCTTGGGCAATGGGTTCCTTCCAAGTACTGCTAGAGGTCTTGGGAGCCCAGAAGATCACAGAGGCCTGCTCATATTAAGGGCCAGAATCTTGGTAGCTGGTATTGTTTCTACAGCTGTCCCTTGTCCTGTCTGAGGGTTTTGGCCTGCTCTCTGGGCTCTGCCTGTGCTCCTGACAAGACTCTTCCTGGGAACCAGGCAGAAGGTAACTTTTGAGTGCCTCATTCATTTTGCAGTGGCCCAGAGGTCCAGTCTTGGTGGGTGTGTTAAAGAACAGGTTTCTCTTCAGAAGGCAATAGCATCTCTATTACAGGATGTGGGCTGTGTTGCTGAGGTGGTGAACCTCAGCTCTGGAATGACATTCCTCAGTTCAAATCCAGCCCCACCTTCTAGCTCCTGGGCACATTATTTAGCTCCTCCGAGCCTAGTCTTCTCATCTATCAAATGAAGGTAATAACCACATTCATGTCCTCGGTTATTTGCAGATAATGCCTGTCACGTGGCTCTATGTGCCTCTAATCACTCCAAACTGTTATTACTATGGAGAGCTTGGCATGCCCTTCAATTAGATGGTGGCTGCTGTCATTACATAAACTACGTATTTGTGACCTGAATCGTTTAATGGGCTCCCGCCCCCATCCCCTGCACATCACATCTGCACACACCATGGAGGTTTCTCAACATCCTTTCCCATCCTCCCAGACTGAGCCTGTGCCTACCAGGATCTTTGGGCCATTCAGGCATGTTCATTGTACTCTCTTGGAAAAGCAGGGTATGACTGGGTGCTACGGAATGCTGTCCTTCAAGTGTAACAGCCTTTACCATCTTCATCAGAGTAGCCCTGATTAGACCCAACAAGATTTGACTTGCTGATGTTCCCTCAGAGGAGGAGGAAGGGAGGGTCACAAGATCATCACCTGAGGTTCCAGCTACTTCCTCCCCACTGAGTCCCTGTCAAAGCTATGTAAAATTCTGTCCTGACTTCATGAGGTCTCTGCAGGTTCTAGGGTACATGGGAGGTGACATGCTCATTAATTAACTCTATGATGCTATGGGGATTTGGTATCCGCTCTAGGGTGAAACATTTTGGTGATAACAGCTGTTCTGAGGTTACTCGTGTTCCTTGCAAGTAAGCCCAACAAACTCATGGGTTCACCAAGCTAGACTTGGATGCAATGTCACTGCCTTGGTGTGTTGTTGGTGCCTTAGCTGGGGCGAGCAGACATCTGTTAGTGTGTCACTGTTAGGGAAAACTGAATGTGTTTGTCCATGTGCGCAAGGTGAGGTGTGACAAAACTTATTAGGGGTATGACTTATCACTCTCTTTCCCTCAGCCTGAGTGCTGAAGGGAGGCAACCACACAGGATACACCCAGCCCCGCTCAAACCACAGGCAGGTGACAGGAGTGAGATATACTCTGCCTTTCAGACTTGAGGATGGTTGGTCATGGCTGCTGCAACACCTAGCTTGACCTGACTGACAAGTCCAAGCTGCTCCTCATCTTCCGACATGCTCACCTGCATGTTTCATCCCCTAGCGCACCAGTTCTCAACCTGTGGGTCTCGACCCCTTTAACGAGGGTCAAGTGTCAGATATTTACATTATGATCCATAACAGTTAGCAAAATTACAGTTATGGGGTGGCAATGAAAGGATTTTATGGTTGGGAGGCTCGCCACAACAAGAGGAGCTGTATTACAGGGTTGCAGCATTAGGAAGATTGAGAACCACTGCTCTAGAGAGACGGTGGAGATTATCTTTGCATGTTAGACAAGAAAATTGAACCACAAGCACAAAGCCTCATACAGACTTGGATTTGAGAACCTAAGGCATCCCATTCACTCTTTCCTCTCTTCCACGTACAGCCTTGATGGTGAGCAGAGGTTGGAAGTAACCCAGCCTCCTCCTCTATCAGTGATGAGCCGCCACAAAGAGCTGCTCTTGTGGCCCATGTCAGAACAGATTCCCTAGTCAGAGATGAACCCAGTACTCACGAGTGTGATGTTGGCAACGTCCTTGACGAATGCAATAGCTTTTTTGGGGTTGAATTTGCAGTGACCATCCTGTTCAGGACAGAATGGGGAAGAAAATACAAGATTAGAGGTGCTTAGCCTTCAGCCGAGGTCTCATTCTCCCCGTGAATGCTGACAGCATTTTTTTAAAGCAGCCTGAATGCACCAGGGCCTTGCAGACAGCGGTACTTCAGAGGGGCTTAAAGCATCCTTCTCCTCTGAGACAGTTCTGTTCGCACCGGGACACACACACACATAGTGCTCAGTCAGAGCTCAAGGACAGACCCGAGGCAGCCCAAGGTCAGAGAAGAGAAAGAAAAGCCAAGTTGGAACCTATGTAGCAGGGTTGGAGGGACAGTCCAGGGAACTGTGCTGACCAGAAGCAGGCAGAGGTTAAGTCACAAGACAGAAACTGGGGAACCTAGTTTGTGGGAGCTAGGAATTGTTGGGCACAATGATGAGAAAGACTGGCCCACGTGGGAGTCAAGCAGATTCCAGGAGCCTCCAGACTGCTCTGACCAAGGTAGGTATATAAGCTGAACTGGTCAGAGAGACCCAGATGAGGACAGCTAGGTGTTTCCTAGGGAGGACAAACTCTGGATGGGGGTGGTGACACAGGGTGGACCAATGGAATTAAAAAGGAATAGGGCAAGCTGAGTTGAGGTGGGGGGGGTTCTGAAGAGGGGCATTCAGGAGAGGGCGATGATGCTTCAAGGGCAGGAGTGACAAGAGATCAGTAGAAAGAGCACAGGGTACAAGCAAGCACCATGAGGGCCCCAGATTTGAATGGCAGCAGGGTGGAGGGGGATGAGGGTGAAATGAAGAGGAGGTCAGCCCACAGTTACCTTGCCTCTGTAAGGGTAGGAGTCTTCTCCCATGATGCCCTTGTTGTACAGGATGTACTCGAAGGCCTGGCTGGGGAGACCTCTGCAAGAAGGACACATATGTAAACACTTCTGGGCCTGGCCTCATAGAGAAGAGTGGCCATCAGTGTTGGAGCTTGGTGATGTTTGCCCTTGCCTGGATCGTTGGGGTCTTGGCAAGGCACATCCCAGTGGCAGAGGTCTGTGAGAGGTCATCAATGTATCCCTGGCCTCAGCCACTGGTGCCCCTCTGGAAGAGGGACCCCTCTCAGGAGAAGCAGGCAGCCCCTCAGGAGGCTGAAGGAATCACTGTCACCTCAGTGCTAGGCATCCTCATGGCTAATGTTCCACAGACACCTTGCCTGGCCCCTCATGTCAGCTCCAGGAGGTAGCTACTACCACGGGTCACTGTGCCCAGGCCACAGTCTGAATTCAGACTTTAAAGATTCTAAAGGTCAATCTTTCCCATCTTCCTACCTCCCACCAAAACAACAACAACAAAAAGACAAAACAAACAAACAAACCAAACCAACTCACTCAGCAGACCACACTCTGTCCAGCCTTTGCTCTTCTATTACCCGTGTTACCACCTGGCCTATGACATCCTTATGCATGGCTTAACCAACTCTGAGACACGTCAGCTCTGTATGGTCTGCTATCTGTTGGGTCACCTATGTCTATGTCCACAGAGGAATATGGTGAGAATTGGTACTTGAATGAAAAATGGCAGTAATGTCATGAACCAGAGAAAACAAATTTCAAAAGATGGTGGGACCCCACCATGCCCAGGTGGAGTCTTTGCCTCTTGCCAAAGGCAGTATGAAGCTATACAGAGGAAGGAGATGAAAAGTGAGGGGAAACTGAGCCTTCTGGAGGATCCTTGGCTGGCTGTAGCATCAATTGGCCCTGAATTCCTGGACTCAGGCTGGAACACGGCTCTCTGCTGGAGACCCTGCTAATCACTGCGGCCAGAGCCAAAGATAGCATGTGAGAATGTTCCACAGAACAGTGAGGGCAAGTGGGTCTGACAGGAAAGTCCAAGCTGAGAATATGCCCTGGAGGACCCTAAGGGACTTTTCTGCATATTATATGCCCAGAAACCTGCCTAACCACTTCTATTAAGAGATTAGCTCACCTGACAAAAAGAGGAGGGCTGTTGTTGCTGTGAAAACGTGAGCTACTTCCTGGTGACTTATTAAGGGGATGGCTGGGAAGCTGGCCAAATACAGCATAGACGTATTTCCCAAACTCACAAAACTCTCGAAAGATGGGGCAGCTTATGCTTCAGGGAGCTTGTCTAAGGGTCCATCGGCTCTCCATGTGTGAATCTGGGGTTTGGAGGATGATACGCTTCTCCCTCTATCGATTCTTCTGGCCACTTGTCCGGGGTCTTTGCTGACTAGTGAGACTGACCACTCTGAGCACAGGGCTGGGTGACACGAGGCTGGATTCTCAGCCCTGCACCTTCTAGCTTTGAGGCCCTCTGATTCTCTACCCATGAGGGTGGATGGGATTTCAGGCCTTTAGCAGCTGCTAGATCTGACAGCAACGAATGAGGAAGTGAGAAAGGGTGGTGGGCTCTCCCACTCCAGAACGTACCCTTGGCAGCCATGGTTGTTGAAGTTCTGGGCACAATCCACCAGCTGCTGCTCAGCCTAGAGGAAGAAGCACAGACCAGTGGCCATGCAGGTGTGAAGTGTCAGCTCTCAGTAGCTCATTCACGTCTGTGGCCTAGTTGGTGTTCTGTGTTGATGAATTTCTCCCAAGGGCCAGGACATCTTTGTATATCCCAGAGCAGTGTCTACCCTGCAGCTGCCACATGCTGGGAAGGACTCAAAATGACCTGGATGCGCAGCAGGCCAGAGGGTACAAAGAGGCCCTCCTAATGAACACTTGTCCTGTAGAGGTGCATACAATATGAACGATGCATCTCATGGTATTACACTGAAGAGAGAGGCAGGCCCAGAGACACTGCTCCACATGGAGCTTGCTCTTCTCTCCCTCTTCCCTACACAGTTGGGACAGTCCCTTCACAGGTGTCACCCTTCCCTTGGGGTGTTAGTGGATAGACCCACAGGCCCTAGCTCTTCCCCGTAGGAAGATAACCATGGGAGAGGGCACAGCTCTTAGAAGAGGTGTCTCCTAGGCAGTATCTACTGCCCAGAGCTCTTCTTGGTAACATTCCAGGCTGAAAACTGAGGAATGTGATGGACACCCACACCCACTCGGGAAGGAGCCCTTGGGGAGCTTCATTCACTCCCATTCTTTTTGGGAGAACATTAGTTGAGATGCTCGGGCTAAATGTCTTCAAGGTTGGGACATGAGAGCCAAAGGAAACAGAACTCTTGGCTGACACGGAGAATGAGCCTGAAGGACCAAGGCCGTTGGGAGAGGTGCTCTATAGGAGATGGCTTACGGCTGACTTCTTACCAAAGATAGCATTTTCCCACTGGCGATAGCCACAGCAGACTCCAGGGCCCCCGTGGTGGAGAAAGTCCAGCAGCTGCCACAGGACCCCTGGAGAGGACACAGAACAGAGGGAGTCGATAAATGTGCCCTCATCACCCAGCCCTGCTCACCAGTGTGGGAACTTTGAAGCAAGACATCCAGAGCCTGGCAGAGGAGAGATCTGGAGAGATGAAGGGAAAAAGAAGAAGGAAAGATCTCGGAGTTCTCCATCCTAGTGTGATGTCTACTTTGGAGGGAAAATGTGGGGACTGCCATGCGTACCTGATTTTTCACTGCCGAGACAAAATGTCCTTTCTTCCGCCAGTCCATGGAGGAGGGGTAGGGGCCAGTACCACGAAGGTAGTTACTTTTGGTGGCCGAACAGTTCTGGAACAACCAAATGCATCATTTTGCAGGAAAACGTAATTAAAAATGAAATCACTGAAAGCAGGTGAAAGGTCTGAGGTGGCGGCTCAGTGGGTAGAGTGCTTGTTGTGCACAAGTGAGAACCTGAGTCCTCACAGCTGTGTGACTGTGTAGCCCCAGTGCTAAGGTTGTGGGAGTTGGTGGGGGGGAGGCAGGCAGAGCCAGCTGAATGGATGAACTTCAGGTGAAGGTGGAAGCTGGGTGCACACGCCTTTCATTTTCGAACTCAGGAGGCAGAGGCAGAGGGGTCTCTGTGAGTTCAAGGCCAACCTAGTTTACATAGAGAGACTGAGGTCAGCCAGGGTTACATAATGAGACCTTGTCTGAAAAAAGGAAATGGGGAAGTGACTGGAGAGATAGCTCAGCATTCAGCAGTTAAGGGCACTTTGCTGTTCTTCCAAAGGACCCAGGTTCGGTCCCCAGTACCCACATTAGATGGCTTATAGCTATAGCTTCAACTTCAGGGTATCCAACACCATCTTCTGGCCTCCACGGACACCCACATACAAATGCCAAATGTATATACACAGACACACATTCATGCACACCTAAATCTTGAAAAAATCTTTAAAAAAATTAAGGTAGAAAGCATTAGAGGAAGATAGGGATGCTAAACTGTGGCCTCTCCTCACCTGTACATGGTCATGTGTAGGCAAGTGCACTCATACATGTGTGTCTACCACAAGCATGCATGTACCACACATGTGCACATAACACAGACTCATATACCATACACATACGCATCAAGAAACACATGCATATACCACACATATTCAAGCACGTACATGCATGCTTACACACACACACACACACACACACACACACACACACACACACACAAAGGGAATAAGAAATGAAAAATTGAATGTGGTGGCATCCACGAAGCACTTTAGAAGTAGATGCAATAGTTTAAGGCTAGCCTTGGGTGCATATCAAGATACAGGCCATAGTCTCACTTCAGCTTGATATGCCATGGCTGTTTGATATCCATGGGAGGCCTGCCCTTTTCTGAAGAGAACAGAGGAGGAGTGGGTTGGGGTGGGGGTAGAGGGGAGGTGGTGGGGTTGGGAGGAGAGAAGGGAGAGGCGAGAGGAGAACCTGTGGTCGGGAAGTAAAGAAACAAAAGTCTATTTCAAATTCACTTTTAACTGGCACCTGTATTTTATCTGCTACTTCTAGATTATGGGTTCATACTATTAAGGCCAGTCCTGGACTGAGGGACAGCTGAGACATGGATCCTCCTGACCTCTCAAAGATTCAGGGACACCTCTAGGCATGGCTGGAGTAGGACCGAATCTAGCTGGAAACACAGCAGGCTTAATGTTTATTCCACAGGTTTGAGTGAAAAGATACAGATTTATTTACAATGAGCCTCACTAACCTGAGGTTCTGACCAGAGGTACTTGTGTTTTATTTCAGCAAAGCTCATGTCTGAGAACTGGTTCAACGCCACTGAAAAGAGAAGGGAAACAAAACCAAATAAACACAGTGACCACAGGAACACAGTGGACTGCTAATAAACAAACAAACAAACAAACAAACAAACAAACAAAAGCCAAGAACCTTTGTCCACCCATGTTCTATTTATAGCTGCTATAACTTGGCTCCTGTAAAAATCTATATTTCAGATGATTCATCCCAGAGTTGCTGGCGAATGCAGCAGACCTGGGGTGCAGCCTAGGCACCCACTCTTTTACACTCCCACTGCGAGGCTGACAAACACCCAGGCAAAAAGCCGCTATGCCTGTGCAGGTTGTCCTTCTACCTGCACTGTATCCCAGTGTGCTCTGCAACACAGCCAGTTCTGCGCTTGTCAGTTCCACTTCAACCCAGGTTAGCCCTGCTTCAAGGTCATATGCTAGTACCGGACAGAAAAAGACGGAACATCTGTTTCTCTTTCAGTTTCACTCTTGCTTTCCAGAGTCCCTTCTGCAGAGCTGCCACAGCAACTGCAGTGGTCATGATGGATGTGTTCCTAGTGCCCCTGACCAGGAAGCTGAATGATGGCAGAGACTGCTCATGGCCCCAGGGCAGTCTGAGAGGCAAGGCCTCGCAGCAACCCAGGCAGATCCTGGTTGTTTGTGGGGTGGGGGCAGGGCTTCTCCAGAATCTTTTGTAAACTTCATGCCCCCCACAGACGGTTACCAGCACTGTCTAAATGTATATCCCATACCGAATCTGAGATTACCCGAAAGACATTCTCAGAGTCCGAGCCTCTTCTCCACACATTAGCCCTGAGCAGACCCTCTCCCCAGCCTGTGCCACTGATTGCTTTCTTCCACCCCTCCTTCTCCTAGAGGCCTGGAGGGAAAGGGGGCTTCCCAGTACTTTTATATGTGTGGTTCCTCTGGTTGTGGGCATTAATCTTCCTCCAGTTGTTGGCAAACATCCGCAGTCTGTGGTTGTACTCCTCTGAGCTGTATGTCTTCTGGTGCTAAAACAGAACACACCGGCAGCAAGTCATGAGAACAGGTGAAGCCTACCAGAGGGAGTCTTTTTAGAGAGTCCTCATCCCCGAAAGACTCCTCCAGAGTGCCAAGTATGTAGGCTGGCTTCAAATGTTTGTAGCCAAGATGATCATGAACATCTAAGATTACTATCCTTCCTCCATAGTGCTGGGGTTGCAGGCATATGTCACCATGCCCAGGTTACATGGTGCTGGAGTTCTACCCATGCTAGGCAAGCTTGCTACCTAGTGAGCTGAATCCCCAGCCTATGGAGGTTTTCATTCTGCCACCATCTCAGGACAGATCTCCAGTTAGATGGGACTCCTTTCCTGTTCTCTACTGCCACTATCAGGAAGTTACAAAGCAACTCTTTACCTCCAGGCACCCTATAGTCAAAACGAAGATGGAGCAACTGTCAGGACATCAGTTAAGAGTTCAAGAGACCCACCAAGAGCAGGTGGCCTCTGGACACCATGACTCCTTGCTATGCCAAGTTTGTAGCAGAACCTACCATTTTCAAAACTGTACATACTGGTGTTCTCAATAGTTTCTGCAGCCACTGTGCAAAGTACTCTGAATACAAACTACAACAATGAAGTGAAGGCACTAAAGGCTTCTGCTAGGCTCATCACGGGGAAACACTATCTGGAAATTTACTTCACTGTATCGTTCCTGGAGTTTGGCCAGTTTGAAGCATGGAAAGACCCAGGACAGAGCAAGGTTGGAAAATTTCTTTTGTCTCAAATCTGATACAGTTTAGTTTGCTAACAGGAAGCTTTGTGACGAGAGAAAAAGAAGAAGTTGGCCACTGACCTGTTTCATCCATGACTTAAAGTGAAACTTTTCTGTAAAAAAAAAAGAAAGAAAAAGAAAAAGAATTAGGTGGACGTTGTTGAGTCTAAAGCCAAGTAGGGTACTGGAGAGATGATTTGCATTTTATTTTATTAATTAACTCATTTTTATGTTTATTATTATTTGAGACAGGGTCTCACTGTGTAGTCTTGGCCGACCTCAACCTCAGAAATCTGCCCGCCTCTGCCTCAGCGTGCTGGGCTTAAAGGTATGTGCCACCACACCTAGTTTATTTGGGTTTGCAAAATACCAGCAAGGAGGCTAGTGTGGGTTAGCTGAAGCTTGGGTACAAAAAGGAACTCAAACCCTTTCTGCTTTGTCGCCACAGCAGTTTTGAGAAACTGCTGTTTGTATGTGGTATATGGGGGAGGCATGCACCCGTGTGTGCGCGTGCAAAGGCCATAGCTGACTTTGGACGTCTTCCTCTATCTCTCTCTACCTTATTTCCTGAGACAGAGTGTCTGGAAGAACCAAGAGCTCAGGTATTTGGCTATACAGACTGCCTAGAAAGCCCTGGCATCCTTCTGTCTCTTTCTTCCAGCCCTGGGGTTACAGGTGTGTGCCCACACACCTGACTCTTTATGTGGGTGCTCGGGATCAGAACTCAGGTACTCTCATACTTGGGCTATAAGCACTTTACGTCAGAAGACAGATTTCGGGAGTTGGTTGTCTCCTTCCACCGAGTGGATCCCAAGGACCCAAGCCATGTTACCAGGTTTGGTGGCAACTGCCTGGAAAAGCCGAGATCAGCCAAGATCCAGGTTTCAAGCTTCGGTGAGCTATCAGCTATGCTGGGGAGGACTCGCGGTGGTGCAGCTGTCTGAGCTATTTCTGTTCCTGTAACTAACCCCTCACCCACACTTAGTAAGTAATTCTGGTAAAACTCAGTGGTCATAAACCTGGACTTTGGTGGTAGTCTTACTTTGGTCTGTCATCTCATCCCTGTCTAGGGTGACCAGACCTTTTTTTTTTTTTAATGTCTACCCAAGAATAGAATTTTTGGGGTGCTGGGAATATTTTATTGTTTCATGGGGTGCAATTTACATGCTTCTGTTCAATAATGAAGATTCACTGGAATTCATATTTAACGATTAGTTAGTTGAAAACCTGGGCACATATGCCTCATCCCCCTGAGATTTGGGGGTTACAGATGTGTACCCCCGTGCCCAGCAACTGTTTTAGCCTTAGCAGTGTTTATGGTTACTGATATTACTCATCTTTGTAACTTAAATGGAGTCACAGGTAACAGGAAAGGAAACGGGTATGGTTGTAGCTCCTATAAAACTCTACAAAACCAGGCAAACCATCTGCTCATGGATTATGGCGATAGCCTCCCTTGTGCACAATTTAAAATTTCCATTTTAAGAATTTAAATAGCTGCAAAAGATAAGTTCCAGTGTGTTCCAGTTTTAAATTTTTATTTTTATTTTTTGCAGTATGTGTACCTGAACGTACCATGGTGTGACTGTAGCAGTCAGAGGACAATGTTCAGAAGCGCGTTCTTACCTTCCACCATGTGGATTCTGGGAGTTGAACTTAAGGTGTTAGTCCTGGAAGCAAGCACCTCTGAACCATCTCACTGGCCCCTTATATGAAATGTTGACATTTGAAAATAAGACCGTGGCTAGGGAGATGGCCGAGCAGAGGAGGCACTGGCCAGGAAAGCGAGAGGCCGGGAGTCTGGATCCACAGACTAAAAGCCCGTGGAACATGGGAACTGACCAGCCTGGGATGTCAGAGACAGGGCATACCCCGAGTGCATTAGCAGCACCAGCCAAATCAGTTGACTGACAGACCCAGCCTCAGTGAGTAAGTTAGAAGGACAATCAAGGAAGATTCCTGATGGTAACTTTAGGCCTCCACACACACCTGTACACGTGTGTTCACACATGAGAGTAAACACACACATGCATATACCATCCCACATACAAACAGAGTTGGATGCCTTGCTGGCTGTGGAGGCACAAGCCTGTTAAGTCTAGCGCTTGGGAAGCTGAGGAAGGAGGTTCTGAGGGAGTTCAAGGGGAGCCTGGGCTACGTAAAAGACCCTGCCTCAAAACACCACCGCCAACAGCAACAACAAAGGAGCTGGATATTTTACACATCGTTTTGAACACCTATCTTTCTGTCTTACAGAATTTTAGTCTTAGGGAGAACACTTATGTTAAATCACCCTACATCCTTCTCTGCAACAACAGAACGTCAATTTAAAATTATTTTTTGCTTCCTAAACATTAAAAAAAATTATTCTAGATTGAGCAATAATTATCACAAAAACCTTGATTATTTATGCTATGAAAAGTCATGATTAGGCCTAAAACCGTAAAACTTGAGTGGAAAAATAACTTTTGTGTGTGTGTTTAGAACAGCATCTGGCTGTATAGCTCAGGCTAGCTTTGAGCTCCCAATCTTCATGCTTTGGTTCTATGAGTGCTGAGATTAGAGGCAGGCATCACAACACAAATGGGCAGTTTGAAAGTAAAGGGTCTAGACTGGTTTCACGGACACCATCTGTGTTGGGATAATTTGGCATGACTCCATGTTGCCCCAGAAGACCCCTAGGGATCAAGCACAGCACAGCAATATGAAGGCCATTGCTATGTGGCATTTGTATCTGGCTTGAAAGCCAGACCTGCTCCAGAAGCTCAGCCAGGGCCATGTTTCTCTAGGAAGAAAAAAAGCATAGTTCCTCAAGACGGGTCCTGAGTGGGTGTGCAGGGGATTCCAAACCCTGGTTAAGGGCCTGCTGTGGCTGAGGCCTTCCCCTCATAGAAGATAAACCTCAGCCCAGCATCAGGCTCTGAGGCAGGCAGAAGTTCACGGTTGACGGGTACCTCTTGTGTATGTCGGGGGAGGGGGGAGTTTCCAAACCAACAAAAGGGGAGAAAGCCCCAGAATTCCTCAGAGTATTGGTGGACAAAACCACACATGACCTCAGATCCATCCCAAGCTTACTGTGGCTTAAATGAAATTCGTTTCATTGGTTTACTTTGATTTGTTTTGCATGTGTATGTGTGTATGCGTATAGGCGCGCTGTGTGTTCTCAGAGATGTCACATGTTTTCCTTCATCACGCTCCGCTCTACTGAGGCAGGTGTCTTTAACTGAGCCCTAAGCTCGCTATTCTAGGTAACCTAGCTAGCCGGTTTACACTGCCCCCACCCCCTCCCCCGCCCCGCCCCATCGTTGCCTCCTGAGTGCTGAAGTTCCAGGTAGCTGCAATGCCCAGCCAGCTTTTTCATAGTTCTGGGGGATAAGAACCTGGCTCTGAGGCTTGTGTGCTAAGTGCTTTCCCCACTGAGCTAACTCTTTAAGAGGGATGCTTTTATGACTAGGGCATAACTGGGGAACAGAGGCAAAAAGATCAGGAGTTCACAGCCATCCTTGGCTACTTGGTGAGGTAAAAACTAAGGAACAACCCTCCCCCCCCCAAAAAAAAGGTTGAGCCTGGGGAGGCTCGCCAGTTCCCATCCCTCCCTGAGGATTTCTAGGCAGTTAATAGTGGCTGGGGGAGGGAAGACACATATCTTTTAGTAGGGTAGGGGCCGGTAAGGAATCTGTGCTGTTGTTCACAACCCTAATAAAACCCTTAGAGGGGAGGGAGGAAGGGAGGGAGAGAGTCTGAGACCAGTTTCTAGAGTGGTTTCGCTGACACCATCTGTGTCGATGTTGATTATTTGGAATAGCTCTATGTTGCCCCAGGGGACCCCCCTCCCCAAGGATCCATGCCATCAGAGCAACGTGAAGACCATTGCTAGGTGGCGTTTATATCTGGCTCTGAAAGCTGAAGTATGATCAGAATGTTATATGCATCTATGAAAACGTAACAATAAAACCCATCACTAAGTGTAATGAATTTAGCCAATAAAATCATTAACAGAAAGGAAATATAGTTTTATGTGCTGAGCCAAGGGCCGACAGCAGGGCTAGGAAACCACAGACCAGGGGCTTTGATTGAAGGGCTCTTCACACTTAAAAATGGTTGGCCCGTGCACGGGGCGGCTGTGGCGGTGGACGGACAGCTGCACCTGAAAGTCACTGAAGTTCTGTCTTCACTGTCCATAAACAAACAAGTAGAACAAACACAGGTAGAACAAGCTACCTGTGGCTGCCTCTGTCCCTCAAGCGAGCCTTTAGGAGCTGTTACAGAGCCCAACGAACAACGCTGAACAGAACTAAAATATTCGCCAGGCAGTCTTCTCTCGCACTTTGCCAAGAGCTAAGGCCGCTTTTTCGTGCCAGCTTTCCTCGGCGCACTACACACACTACCGTTAAGACTGCTGTGGGTACTGGGTGTCCCTCAGGGTAGGGAGTCACCCCCAGCATGCCACAGTCTTACAAACAACCAAGGCAGGGCGATCCCCGGGGGACCAAGTCCACAGAGGGTACCAGTACAGGCTGGGACGTGCGGCTCTTCGTTCTTCGTGGCGGGGCAGAAAAGTTTTGTGTCCCTTCCTGAGGGCTTCTGTATCGAGGCCTGGGTAAGAGGGACCCTGGGCACCTGCCTGCTTGTTCCTCGGATCACGCAAGACTACCCCGTTCCTCCTCCGGTGCCCCCGCTTTCTCCCACGTACCTATGGCGTTCACGGTCAGCTCAGCGGTGGCCCCAGCACTCAGCAGCCAGGCCCCGGCGCACAGCAGCGGCAGCGCGGCCCACATCGCTGCTCTCACTGCCCGGTTCGGAGGGTGTCCTTGGGAACCCAGCCTGTGGGAAGGAGGTGGGGCGAAGCTGGCCTCCGCCCTGGCGGCAGTGGTTCCTCCCCCGCCCCCTGCGGCCGCAGCACTTCTGCGCTTTTCTTGGGAAGAAGAAGCCTGGCCCTGATGACTCCTCCGGGCCAAGTGGGAGGTAGCACGGCCCCATCCCCAGTTTCTGTCCCGGGAGGTGTCTGTCTCCATAGAGGTGTCTTAAACCATAGCTCCCTGGCCTTCCCCAGGGCTTGGAATGCAGGAACAAGAGGGCTGTCCTGACTGCTCACTCCCAAGAGGATTTTGGGTTGGTCCAAAACCCTGTCACACTGTTCTGACTTGGCCCTTTTCTTTATTTTCCAAGTCTGAAGGAGGAAATGGATACAGTTAAAGTCTGCATATAAAATAAGCAGAGAAAGCACATTTTGAACTTAGGAGCCCTTGCTAGGATTCCTTTGACGGGGGGAAAAAAAAAAAAAGGGAAAAAGGGAATTCATAGGTGCCACCATGCCTGGCACCTATGGCCCCCACGGAGGCTATTTCTATCATCGCCCTGCCAAATGGCACAATTGTTTTTGTTTTGTTTTACTTCCTATTTTACAAATGGGAAAACTGAGGCCTTAGGACTAGATGGGTAGTTTTCCCCATAGGGAGTCTGAGCCTGCTGTAGCACTCTTAATTCTGGCTCTGAGGCTATTCTATCCCCCCGCCCCCACTCCCTTTTATCTTATAATCTCCTATATGGCCCAGGCTGACCTAGAACTTGTAGTTCTCATGCTTCAGCCTCCTTTTCATGTATCTCCCAGCAGCCCATGGCGTTTTGATGAAGGCAAAACGACCTTCTTCTCCTGAACTTCTTTGGTCAGACTCTGCCTTTCAGGCCCGGGGAGGGGGCTGGGCAGGACAAATTCCAGAAGTCTTTTAAAATAGGTCTAAAGCGGTGGTTCTCCAGGTCTAAAGAACCTGGGAGTCAACGGTCCTTTAACAGCGGCCACCTAAGACCATCAGAAAACGCAGATATTGTAATTCCTAACAGTAGCAGAATTACAGTTACAAAGTAGCAACAAAAATAATTTAATGGCTGGGGGGGGGGGTCACTACACCATGAGGGATGTATTAAAGGGAAGCAGCATTAGGAAGGTTGAGAAACACTGGTCGAGGTTTCTCAGTTCTGACCAGTTCTCAGAACTCTATTTCAGCAATCTCAGGGCTAAGACTATAACTCAGTGAGCATGGCCCAACATGCACAAAGCTCTAGGTTCAGTGCCTAATACTGCCAAACACACACACACACACACACACACACACACACACACACACACACACATAGCCAAACCAAACCAAGAGCCACCAGACAAAGTCAGGTGGTCTGGACAATACAAACACACGGACACTGTGCTCTGACGGGCCCCGGAATATGGCTCCAAGGACAGATACTGTGCAAAGGGCTCTCCTTTTAGGATTTCCGACTTGCTGAAGCTGTGAGGGCAGTACGCAGTTAGTAGAAACCATAACTGAATTTTGAATTTTGAGCTCTTTCCAGGCCAGCGGCTTCAGTGGTCTGCAGCTGGATCACTAGCAGAGAGCTACTGAGGGGAAACAGCTGGCATTCTGCAGCAAACTGTACGAGGCAAATGGCATGAGCTGTTCCAGCCTTTATTACGTGATGGGCTTTATGTCAAATGGTCTTGCACAACTGTTGGTCAATGTGGGTATTTTGAACACATTTTTTTTGGGGGGGGGCTGGGCTAAGCTATGATGTTTGGTAAGTTGGATATATAGTAAAATGCACACTTGACTTATAGTATTTTCAGCTATGAAAGCTGAAGAACACTTGCGTTTTATTTTTTGTGTTTTCTTTTTTTGTCAAGCATACATGCATTTATGCACTTCCGAGTGGGGTCAAATGTGTGTGCAGGTATTTCATGCAAGTGAGGGTGCACGTGGATGTGGAAGACCCATGTTGACTCTAGGTGTCTTTCTTGATTTTTGTATTGAGCAGATTCTAGCTACTCTAGCCAATCAGCTTACTATGGTTGAGTTCCTATCTCTGCTTCTTGAACACTGGGATTAAACAGAAGTCTCCGTACTTCAGTGGGTTCTGAGGATCCGAACCCTGGTCCTCACACTTGTTCCACAAGTACTTACAAGTACGTTACCCACTGAGCTATCATTCGAGCCCCTGCAGTTGAACTTCTGATAAAGCAGATGCCCTTCTGGAAGAGAGCTGTGCTTTTGGGGACAAGTCTCTGAAGTGAGCCTGCATGGTTCCTGTCTGGAGTGTAAGTCCCTGCTCTGCTGAAGATGTCCTCTGTTGCAGATGTCCTGCCTGGAAGGTGTGTTGGGACTGCCTCATCCTTCTGTCACTCTGGCCTCCTGGAGAGCAGCAAGATTTAAGGAGCTGGCATATTGAATTGACCCAGGGCTCGTCCCATGGCTTAATGATCACCCAGAGGCAGAGGCCCCTGGGGTAGTGAGAAGTGGAGGGCACCTACTGAGTCACTTGGAAACCAATGTGCAGTTCTAGTCTTACCACAAATTCCCTCTGTCACCTGAACAAATGGTTTGCTATCAGAGGGCCTCAGTTTCCTCATTTGAAAAATGAATTAAGTGTCTCTGTCTCTCAGAAGGGTTAAATATAGTCACAAGAAAAGTGTTGTAGCGTGGCCCTGAATATGACACTGGAATGGTAACTGACCATATGTGGGCTTTACCAAACCCCAACGGCACTCTGTGTCCCAAGCTGTGGCACCTGCATTTTACTTTTTTCATTCTTTTCTTATGTATTAAATACAGACAGAAGTTTCCCCTCTCTTTCCTCTCCCCAGTCCCTCCCCTGACACCTCCTCTCTCCCCCAGATATACTCCTCCTCCATTTCCCTTCAGAAAAAGGTCTGGCTTCCCAGGGATATCAAGCAAATATGGCATGTCAAGTTGCAATAAAACTAGGCACATCTTCTCATGTTAAAGCTACTTGAGACAACCCAGTAGGAGAAAAAGGGTCCCAAAAGCTGGCAAAAGAGTCTTGGATGTCCCACTTCCATTGTTAGAAGTCTCACAAGAAGACCAAGCTATACTATCATAACATATGTGGAGGACCTAGGTCAGACCCATACAGGCTCCCTGATTTGTATGCCCACATGTGTAAAAGTTATTTATATTCACCTGATGTAATTGTTGTCTCAGATGCTTAGTGCCTTCTTCTGCTAACCTAGGCCTAGGCCTGGGAGCTTCTAGCCTCTGTACAATCTAATCTAGGCCTAGAATATTTTCAGCCTCTGAGATTTACTACTGAATAGCTCACCCTTTCAAGTTCTTTCTGAACTCTGGCTGCCTGGTTCAACTCAGCTGTTCTGGCTCAAACTCCTCTCCATACTGATTGATTCAATCTGACTTCTCCGGGCTTCTCACTGAATTGCAGTGCTTGGCCTCAAACTAATGCTAGCAATAAGTTCTAATTTTCTGGCTCCACATTCTCTTGCTTGTTCTGTGTTTACCTCTGTCTAGCTTGTTTTCTTTTCAACATGCCTTTGTAAAACTGTCCTGGTGAAAACTGCCTCTGAACTCCATGAACTGAACAAAACTGACTCCCTGGAACTCAGAGATCTGCATGCCTCTGTCTCCTGAGTGCTGGCATTAAAGGGATGTACCACCATGCCTAGACCTAAGCTTTTCTTTACCTGAAACTTGCTCTGTATCAGGCTGGCCTTGAACTCATTGATCTGCTTGCTTATATCTTCTGGTATTAGTGCCATGTCTGTATTCCAGCCAGATCACACAGAAGGTCTTTGAATGTGATCTCTTGCCAGAGCAGCTATGTTGCTGAATTAAAATTCCTCTACATCTTTCCCCATTGCTCTTTAATGTAAAAATTGCATGCAGTTTAACTTTTACAATAGAAACAATTATCAGTCCCACAAACTTAATAGTCCAAATGTCTTTATGAAAATCCGTTGATGTGATGATCTTTCATAACTGTAGTCCTGATCATCTGTCCTTCAGCAAATGCCCATTTCAACATCAAGATTTTCAGTCTGCTCTCATATCAGATCTTTATCAATTTTGATGGAACCCATAGGCTTTCATCACCTCTGAAAATATAGGCAAACCTCTTCCCCAACGTAACACATTCCTTGAGTTCCATTCTGATGTTAAAACATCTTTAAAGTGTACAGGTTGAGCTAATTATTTTTATTTATCTTTCAGCTAATCTTATTCCCCTCTTTTGTTTATCATGGTACAGTTTTAGGTCTTTCTGAACCCACACATAAACCAGATAGTCAGGTACTTGCATTCTATGCCTTTGCCCCATTTAAACACAGAAACAATCAATAAGATGCCAATATACAGTGTCAGTTAAAATAAAATGTTCTGAGATGGAAGGAACATTAATCTGAGCTCCCCATTGCTGTAGTAGATCCCCATAGGTTTATGGTTATATCTGCCACATAAAGCCTTAATCTTCCTATTTGACCTTTTGGTCTCAGACACCTAATTTGACTTACATTTTGTTTTACTTGGGATAATGTTCCAATCTCTACAAAGTAAAGATACAGTCTGAAGAAGCCAATGTGGATTCCAAGATTCTTGTGAGATTATAGTTACATCAGCTCCTGTTCCACCAAACCTTCAATTTTGATACCATTTAATTTTAGTTTTGGTCCCTAGTCATTGATAACATTTTGCCAAAACAAAAACAAACAAACAAACACCTGTTTTCCAAAATCTACTTTCAAAATCTTCCTGTTCTTTCAATTGGAACTGCTTTGCCTTTTTACGCATGGGAAAAGTAAAAGCTCAGCAATCCTAGTTCATGCTTTAAAGGGCATATATTTCTTTACATAAGGCATAATCTCAATCTCTCCTTGAAGTCGTCATCTATAATTCCTGGATGCACAATGAATTTTTGAGATGCTAGGCTACTTCTCCCTAAAACCACTCCTACTGTCCTTGGAGGCAGAGGTCCATGGGCAATGTTGAATTTTGGTCACCAGGCCCAGAAGATCTAAGAGGCTAGAAGC